TAATTCCACTCCTGAGCGTATACTCAAATGTCTGAAAACAATGACTCGAACAGATACTTGCATGTGAATGTACACAGCAGACAAAAGGTGGAAACCTAAGTATCCATTAATAGATGAGACTTTTTTAAATAGATTTTTTTAAATGTGGTATATAAAGTGAAATATTATTCAGTCATAAATAAGAAGAAAATTCTGCCACATGCTACAACATGCATAAACTTTAAAAACATTAAGCTAAGTGAAAAAAGCCATACACAAAAGGAAAAATATTGTATAATTCCGCCTACATGCAATAGCTAGAATAGGTAAATTCATAGAAATGAAAGTAGATCAGAGGTCACCAGAGGCGGGAAGTTATTGGAAAGGTAATGGGAAGTTATTGCTTAATGAGTTCAGAGTTCCTGTTTGGGTAATGAAAATGTTTTAGAAGTAGATAGTGGTAATGGCACAACATCGTGAACGTAATTAATGCCACCAAATTGTACATTTTAAAATGGTTCAAATGACAAATTTTATGCTATATGTATTTTACCACACTAAAAAAGAATGTAAGATGGTCCATGAGTTGGCAATTGCTAAAACTAGATAATGGGCACATGAGCACATTAGTCTCTCTTCAAAAAATTTAAGAAACAAAAAATGTTTTCTGTAGTTTTTTGGTAGATATTGTCAAGGTAAAGAAGTTCTCTTCTACTTCTCAATAGATAATAGGTTTTATCATGGATGAGTGTTAAATTTTACCACATATGTTTTTTATATCTTCTAAGATGATCATGTAGTTTTCCCTCTAACCTATTAACATAGCAAATTTTATGCATAGGTTTTCTAATGTAAAACCACCCTTAGATTCCTAGGGTAAGGCCAGCCTGGTCAGATGATCATTTTTATATCCTGCTGGGTTTGATTTGCCATATTTTGTTGGTCTTCCACATACTCTCAGAATTCTTTGTACAGCTATCATAAGGCCCATCAAACTGAACTGTAAATGTGAATTCCCTGAGGACACAGACTCCTTCCCCATCCACTTAGTTCCTTCCTTAGCTAGTGGAGTCTCTAGGACATGGCAGGCATTCAAAAAAAGTACAGCTGATAAAATAAGTGAATGAATGGGTGAGTAGAGAGATGAATAGGTGAACAAATGAACACCTTAGTCCAAATAGTGACACACACTGTTGCAGATGTGCAGGTATTTTTCAGGGAGAGAGACCTTAGAAGGGCTCACCAACCAGTTCATAGAGCCAACTTCTCTGCTGATTGGCACTTCAGCTTGTCTGAAGCTCTGTAACCTGAACCCTAGCTCTGGACTCTCATCTTCTTACTTTCCTTCATTACTCAATCAACAACATTTCACAGTTCAGTGCCTGCTTTCATCCAAGAGGATGCAGCCCTCATATCAAAGCACACTCCCCAAAGCTTAGATCCTGTGCTGAGATTGAAGGGGAATGTGACATTAGTTTCAAACTTAAAGTGTTCCTCCCAACCTCAGAGTTTATTCCCAGCAATCAAAATGGCTTAATCCCAACCCTGATTGGTACAGCAAAAGCCATCCCATGAACAATTTACTAAATCAGCAGTACAGAGGAGGAGAGCAATCACAAGGGAAACAGCTGAATTATTTCAGCAGCTGTAAATTATGAATTCTCTTCCTCCTCCTCTTCCAAGTCCATGTTCAATTGTGTCCCACACCTCTACACTAAACGTGGGCTTGTCAAGTATCTATGTCAACTGCAGTAACCAAACTTGAGTTCGAGAAGCATTAAAAAACATGGATTAACTTATATTTAAATAAATGTGTTTAATGTCAACAAAAATCACACTTTAACTTCAAACATCGCCTAATCTATTAGTTGCTTAATTAAATTCTTTAAGACCCTTGGACACTGGCACACTGCCCTGGGGAGCAGTTCCCAGGCCCTGGCCTTGGCGGGCTGTGGATGGGGATGAGGCCACGTCCCTGGGGAAGTGCCAAGAGAGTCCCATTCTCTTCCAGAGTCTCCTAATGAGGTAGTTTCTCTTCACAGCTCTGCTGGTCTCCACAGGGCAGGAAAAACATCACAAACACATTTTTGAACATGGAAAATCGCCAAACCAGGCTATATTTTTTAAAAGTGTTGTTTTAGTTTTTTTTAAAAAAAGCATACATAAACCCAAGAGAGACACTTTTCCCATCTGGTATCTGTTCTTCTTAAGAGCAGTATATCATGAGACATTCAAAGACGTGTACAAGAGGAATACAACAAGATTCATGACAGCAGGTAGGGTCAGGGGGCTCTGCAAGATGCCACCAACGAAATCCTAGCCTGCCAGAAGTCATCAGCCTGCAACTGACAGGGGTACAGCTCAGCTAACAGCAGCATCCTAGACTGAAGCCTGCAAAGGGACTCTGGATTTCAGTGAGTGAGCTCGTGATAGGGATGCCAGCAGGACACCAGGAAGTCTCTCCTGCCACAGTAGGCTCCACGGGGACAACTTTCCAGCTACCCTTCTCACAGCACCATATCTTCCCAGGTAAACATATCCTAGAAATAATCTATCTCACAACAGGCCTCGAGGCAGAGCACATTTGGCTAAGAATCAGTAAGCATTTAGAGCCCACATTTTGGGCAGCAGATACTCTGAACCCAATCCCACTGGGTATGAGTAAGACAATATTATTTTAAGAGCATCAAGGGTGTGACAGATGACAAGAGCCCCAGCTCCTTCTAGTTTCCTTACAAAACTACCTCACCTCTTAGTTGACCTTACATTTTATCTCTGTCACTCATCACCTT